AAGGTTCAGGTGTTTACAGATCATAAGAGTCTGAAGTATATATTCACGCAGCCTGAGTTGAACTTGAGGCAGAGGCGCTGGATGGAGTTGGTTGCAGACTACGATCTGGAGATAGCTTACCATCCCGGTAAGGCTAATCTGGTTGCAGATGCTCTGAGTAGAAAGCGAGCGGCTTCAGCTCGAGGGCAGGACATGGAGACCTTGGTGGGAGAACTTAGCACCTTGCGGTTGTGTGCTATTTCTCAGGAGCCACTGGGGTTAGAAGCAGCTAACCGAGCAGACCTTCTGACCAGAGTTCGAGCGGCTCAGGAGAAGGATGCAGGGCTGGTTAATGCTTCTAAGGATACTGAGTCAGAGTATCAGGTTGCAGCCAATGGGACTATCCTTGTGCATGGGCGAGTTTGTGTGCCCAAGGATGAGGAGTTGAGACGTGAGATCTTGAGTGAGGCTCATGCGAGTAGGTTCTCTATTCATCCAGGAGCGACCAAGATGTACCGAGATCTGAAGCGGTATTATCATTGGGTCGGGATGAAGAGGGATGTGGCTAAATGGGTCTCTGAATGCGATGTATGTCAGCTAGTGAAGGCTGAGCATCAGGTGCCGAGTGGATTATTGCAGAGCCTCTCTATTCCAGAGTGGAAATGGGACATGATCACGATGGATTTCGTGGTGGGGTTGCCAGTGTCTCGGTTCAAGGATGCCATTTGGGTCATTGTGGACCGTTTGACTAAGTCTGCACATTTCTTGGCTATCAAGAAAACCGATGGAGCGGCAGTGCTAGCTAAGAAGTATGTGTAGGAGATTGTGAGACTTCATGGAGTACCGGCCAGTATTGTGTCAGACCGGGATTCGAAGTTCACTTCGGCGTTCTGGAAGGCTTTCCAGAAGGAGATGGGTACTAAGGTGCATTTGAGCACGGCTTACCACCCTCAGACAGACGGGCAGTCTGAGCGAACCATTCAGACACTTGAGGATCTGTTGAGGATGTGTGTGTTGGACTGGGGTGGTCAGTGGGCAGATCACTTGAGCTTGGTGGAGTTTGCTTATAATAATAGCTACCAGGCGAGTATTGGGATGGCTCCTTATGACGCGTTGTATGGGAGGCCATGTCGGACACCTCTATGCTGGACTCAAGTGGGGGAGAGGAGCATTTATGGTGCGGATTTTGTTCAGGAGACTTCAGAGAAGATTCGGGTTCTGAAGCTGAACATGAGAGAGGCGCAGGATCGGCAGAAGTGTTATGCTGATAAGAGGCGTAAAGAGTTGGAGTTTGAGGTTGGAGATATGGTGTATCTCAAGATGGCGATGTTGCGTGGTCCTAACAGGTCCCTTACCGAGACTAAGCTGAGTCCGAGGTTTATGGGTCCTTTCAGGATTGTGGAGCGGGTTGGACCGGTGGCTTATCGGTTGGAGTTACC